TTGTTGTTGTCGAAACTGTGTTGTATTTATGTATTGTATACTGGCATTTAGTTTGTAGTAATGTTTATATGTGTTTTTAACCACGATAAATACTGTATAACGTCTAAATACTCTTTTAATTTCCTGCTGCATATCTTGAAAATTTATAGACAATTCTCATTTATTTATTACTTAATCGTTCCACTGCTTGTTAATTGAAGTTTCTGGTAAAGAGTTTTAAGAAACACTAATAGAACATTCTATATAAACTGTATATAATATTTTTACAGAATAATATAAAAAGGTAATTATTAATACGTAGTAACATAAACATTATAACTGCAAAATCTCAATAGAGATTAAATATATTTCAGATAAAATATTCACAAAATTTATTTATTGAGTTTCAGATCGATTAAATAAAAAAAAATAGTATCAGTCTTTACTATCTTACAATATTAATGTATATTTTAAAAGACATTTATTATGACTATAGCTTTTATAATTATTTTTTTTTATTCAGGAAGCAGATGTGGCTTTTGTACCTGTAGGCATCAACTACGAACGCTTCTCTGCAATGGAGTTCACGTCAGTTTTTACTTTTTACCCTGTAGTTTTTCTTATTAAAGCTCCAGATAAGATTTTTGATTGGAATTCTATTACGAAGCCTTTCACCTTAAAGGTAAGTAACAATAACAAGTGTTAAACTATAACTAAAACTCAAACATAAAGTTTTATTTCATGTAATCAGGTTTGGATAGCTATATTTTCTATTGTATTGATATTTGGACTAACGCTATATAAAGTGCTAGAGAAGGACTTTATCGCTGCAAGAACAGGGAAACGATGGACTCTATGTACAGTTTTTTGGAATTTAGTTTGTACATTTCTTGGCAAAGGTAAATACATTAATTATGACATAACACAAATTTTAAGTTTAATATAGAAAAATACTATTCAATTTATTTAGGACTGAATCTAGACAAAGTGAAAAGGTTTGCATCTAGATTCATGATAGGAATTTGGTGGTTATCGATTCTTGTTTTGATATCCGGTTACAGTGGGGCGTTAATGTCTTTTATGACATGTCCTTTAACTGAGTCTGTTCCAAGAGATTTTCAGGAACTTGCTGTTTTTGTCCGCAACGGAGAGTTCTCATGCGGAACATACAAAGGATTTTTTGTGTGGAAAGACATCATGGTAAGTGTTTTAAATTTAAAAATTTATAATATTTATATGGAAGGATATCTTCTTAAGTGCTTTATAATTTCAGGATGTGTTCATTATAACGATTGTGTTTTTTATTAATATAATTATTAATTCTAGGAATCGAAGTCAGAAAATATTAAAATTATAAGTGAAAACATTCTCTCGAATAATAACTTCATGTCTACAACAGAAGGCATTAAAAAAGCGCAGAATGAACGATTTGCATACATAATGACTAAACTTGTGTTAAATCTGTACATCAGTAAAGTAGAAAGGCATAAATATGTGATGTCAAAAGATTTTTTTCGTTCATATATGATCGCTTTTGCAATCAGAAAGAATTTTCCATTTAAGAAGGAGTTATCTAACACGTAAATAATTTATATACTCATTTATACTGCATACCGCAATTAAAATTTATTTTTATATATTCAAAACGATCTTATTTTAGAATAACTCACATGTTTGAAGCTGGAATATTTGAGATATTGTATCCTCAGAAAGTTGAAGAATTCCAAAAAGCATCAGAATTCCAACCGTTGTCAATAGAAGATATTAAAAGTCCTTTGTTACTTATGGGCATTGGATATCTAGTGTCTTTAATCTGCTTAATCATTGAAATAATATTAACTAAAGTGATTAAAATTCTTACTCGTAATCGACTTTATTAATGCAAAATTATAGAATATAACTACAGTAAATTATNAAAAATATATTGCTATAACACACATATTTCTAACATCATTAATGATGAATGGTACACATGTTTATTAGTTGTGATTAACAAAGAACATTATGTGGGGTCTTCACGAATTAGATTACAATACAGACTATACAGTAGAGAACGCAATTTTGAAAAATTATGAAATACTTAATTTAAGTTTTATCATTGTTTTATTTTTTATAAACCAGTTTGTATCATTACTTTATATTAAATTCTTATACAAATTAATTTTATAACAAAAGAGTGTATCTGATCTATACTACTATAATCAATGTATAAAAACATAAATATGGAATAAATATCCTATGAAACAACATGACATTTGCAAACAACACTATGTTGGCTGATATTTCTATGCATTTCTTACAGTGGAATCAACATAAAAATTAGTGCAATAAAAAAAAGAATTTTAGAACACGAAAACAACAAATTAAACAAAAATAAAAGCTGCTTATAGCTGGCAAGATATAAAATGTGACTTCGAGTAATTAAACAGATTTGATATTTTTAATTAAATATATTAGTCAAACTGTATGGTTTATATACACTTCATATTATTCCTGAATATTCTAATTCACCTAAGAAAACTGCAGTTTTCACAAATCTATCATTCAAATATATATTTATTTCTACATACTTTTTAACTAAATATTATATTGAATGCATATATGTACATTTCAGCTCTAAAACTATGGGTTCGATTAACTCATAGTATTATACTTTTATCTTGTTATATGATGTTAAATTAAAACATTTTAATCTTAGTTTAAAAAAATATATTTCAAAAAAATATAAATTATAAGACATAAAATTATGTTTTTCAGTTTAGTTATTTTGCATATATTTAATTGTGATATTTAAATAGTTACATTATAGTGCACCCGATAAAAAAAGCCCTTGGATATCAAGATATAAGTGGTAAGTGGTATGGAATTACAGGACAAGTTGCAAACCAGGTGAGTAAACATAAAATTCAAATGTTTAAAATAAGTTAATGTTTAAAAAGCTAATTTTACTATCAATAAGTAAAACAACATAGCCGTATTTGGGACAAGACTATATCTCAGAGACTCACTACTAAGCGGAATTACTTTGACATTCAAGCGAGTCTCATTCTCATTTTCCAATTTTTTTCAGTATCTCTAGTTTTCAGCGCGATCATTCAGATTTTGCCGGCCATGTTTGCACTGTCGTCCACGATGCATTTTTGGTGAATTTAACCTATTTATGTCGAAATTTCTATCCATTGCGTGTTGGCCTGAGTCGAATTTTTGTTAATGAGTAACGAAATTTTTCAGTTCTTGAAATAAATAATCGTGGCTATTGTATTGTCTGAAATTATTTTTTTATTTTGCACAACTAATATCCAGTTTAATTCAATTATAACGTCATTGAATGTAACGACAAACTTAGTATAACGTCTGTAGCAGCGTAGCTAAAATCTGTATATGGGTCATTCTAAGTTAAGAGGTACTCACTGGTTAAGAGATGTGGCCACGACATAAATGTTAGAAATTTAATCTAAATATGTAACATTTTTATTGAAATAACTAATTTGTGCATATCTGCAAGGTGGCTAGTCAATTTATTTATTTTATCTTGTTTTATGAATGACCAGGGGAGATACTCAATACAGGGGAGAGACTAGGTGTACAAGGTAGGATACTTTATGAACAGGGGAGAGAGAGACTTTAACATTGCTTTATGAAAGAAAATAGACTTTTTTTTAAGAATCAACTTTATTTATTCATTTTATAATTATTAAATTATCAGACTGTTTATTTTCAAGCAGCCTGTTAATATCTTCATTCTGAGGAGGTGGTAGTAGCAGTGGGTCTTCATTATCCGAACTAGGAAGGGTTGTGGATTCATTACTTATGATTTGAAGTACTAAACGACATCTACGATTCTTTGCTTTTTCTCTTCTCAATTTTCTAGCTTCTCGCTGTTCTTGGGGGGTCATTTGGTTCACAGTCTTAACAATTCCTTTTTCTTTTTTCTTTTGATACTTTTCATGTTCTTTAAGTTTTTGTAGTACGTATTTGTCAGGGTCATTTTTTATGCATTGGTACCTTAATCTTTCTGCTACACGATTTTTTTCTAGGCGTTCTTCATGTGCCATTTTTTCCTTGCTAACATATTCTGTAAAAGACATATTATACCATAATTAAATGTATGAGATAGGCTAAAAGAGTAAAAATGTATATTGACTAAATTACGGAACGACAGTTCACTTGTTATCCATAAAAATACTATGATCTGACGTTTTTATATCTCCCCTGGAATCTTAAAAGGCAGGGGAGATATGACAGGGGAGATAATTTTTCATTAGAAAACCGAAATAATCGTAAGAGTATTTATCGTACACAATTAACAAATAAATATGAGAATCTATGCACAAATAACAGTAAATATACAAATAAAATAAAGTTCTTAGATAAATAATCACAAAATAAAACTTACCAGGG